CATCCCAGGTGCCTGGCAGGGACCCTGCTGTCCTGGAGCTGACGTGCTCACGGCAAAGGGGAGATGGTAAAAAGAGGCACTTGGCCCCCTTGGATGAGGCCAGCAGGGGAAGGGCTTTGAGGGTGGTGTTGGAGGGTTACCAGCCAGTATGATCGGGGTGGGGGTGGGGGCCTTTCCTGGGGAATTCTTGGAGTGTCAAGGCTTGAGTTAGGAGCAGATTTGATCTTAGAGGAACAGCACAAAGATGGTGTGGCTGGAGATTCCTGAATGAGGAAAGGAAAGGTCGCATGTGTGGTTGGATTTTATTCTGGGGGATAGGACACCTCTAGGATAGTTTTATTTATTTATTTATTTATTTATTTATTTATTTATTTATTTATTTATTTTTAAGGTTTTAATTTTAAGTATCTACACCCAAATGTGGGGGCTTGAGCTTACAAGCCTGAGATCAAGAGGCATGTGCTCTATTGAGTGAGCCAGCCACATACCCCGCCTCTGGATGGTTTTAGATGGAGCCGTGGTTTGTGTACCTGGCTGTGGTGTGGAGGGTGCCCCAGGATAGGGGTGCTGTGGCAGGAGGTGGGGGGCCCATGGGAGCTCTTACAGGGTCTTGGTGGGAAATGATAGGCACGGGCCGTATTTATCAGCCATTTTTTTCTTTCTCATCCCATAAGGAGCCATTTTAGACATCCCCCCCGCCCCAACAGTCTCCTGTGAATTTTTTCCTTAATGGAGATGAAATTCACATGACCTAAAATTAACCATTTGAAAGCGAACATCTCCATTACTCCAAAATAAAATCCCGTGAAGTAATTAGGCACTCCCCTACTCCCTGGCCACCGACCCCTCGTGACCGTCAGTCTGCACACGACTTGTGTGGATTTGCCTGCTCTGGGTATTACATTTAATCCAAATCATACAAAATGTGGCTTTCGTGTCGGCTCCTTTCACAGAGCGTATGTTTTCAGTGAATGATGCAGCGTGCATCAGACCTTCATTCCTTTTTATGGCTCAGTAAACGTTCCACCGAGGACTCCAGAGTTTGTCTGTCCGTCGATGGACGTTCAGATTGTTTCCACCTTTGAACCGTGGTGAATAGTGCTGCGATGAACGTTGGTGTAGCAAGATTTGAGTACCGCTTTTCAGTTCTTTTGGGTTTATACCTAGGAAGGGACCCTCATGAAATTTCAAAGTACTGTATTTCTTTTTATGCACTGCATGTGTCTGTGTTTTATACATAAAAAGAGTAAGAGATTTTTTCACCCCCCTGTTCTCCAGAACCACCTTTGAGAATGTGTGCATTAGGCTGATAGCAGCGGGGATGGAGACCGGGGGGAGCTTGGGGGTATATTTTGGAAGCGGTGTGCAGGGAGGGGCCTGGCTGAAGAGTGGGGTAAATTGAGGCAGGAGAACAAGGGAGGAATTAGGGCAGTTTAGACACGTTTGGCCTTGAACATCTAGGTGAGTGGTCATAGCGTTAACTGATATGGGGAGGTCGAGGCAGGTACATAGTGTTTCACAAACTGGGGAGGGGGGACGTGTGGCACTCCGGGGTGGACAGGGGCCATCGTGTTCCCCAAGGAGAGTTCTGCGTGTTGGAACCCAGGGTTGCTAGGTGACCCCATGCTGTCCCTTCCCTGATTACAGGAAGCATTTTAGTCCCAGATGTCCGTGAGGGGGTCCCTGCCCTTTGCTGGCTGCATGGAGAGTGAACCAGACTCGTACCCGTGGGGAGCCAGTGTTCTCCAAACACCTTTATTCTTGCCATATCCTGGTGCTATGTTTAAATTAAAAAATTTAGAACATAGTTCTTAAACCTTCAATACTTATGTTTTATTAACAGAGGAAACTTTATGTGCCTGTGAAATTAAAGACTTGTTTTTCCCGTTATGTTTTAACTACAGAATTGCAAAAATAACGACTTTGCCTGTGTTCTTGCTAAGTTTCCCTGTAGGGACCACAAGGGGGCAGGGCTCTGTGAGACTGCCTGCTGGCTTCCCTTTCCTCTTTTTTTTTTTTTTTTAAATTTAAAATATTGATTTGATAGAGAACAGGTGCGAGTGAGCCTGCATGAGCAGGTGAGGGACCGAGAGAAAGAGAAAATCCCAAGCAGGCTCTGCACTGTCAGCACAGAGCCTGATGCGAAGCTCTAACTCACGACCCTCGAGATCACGACCTGACCTGGAATCAGGAGTTGGACGCTTAACCAGTTGAGCACCCCCAGGCTCCCATCTTCCTTCCTTTTTTAACATGAGCTGTTATGAAGCAGGGAAATGCGGACCCACGTTTTTACTTCCGCCTACCCTTTTGGGTCAGACTTTCTTGACAAAGTTCCTCGCAGTCTACGCAGTACCTTGACTGGTGTAAGACCCTTCCTGCTACCCCTGTTTGCTGGTTCACGTGAGAGAATACAGTTAGAGAGGCACTGGTCTTTAGTCCTCGCAGAGAATATAGGATACTGATGTTTTCAGCCCCTGCAAATCTCTTTTGGAAGGAAGCAGATAGAATACGAGTGAACGAAAAATAAAATCCGAATACTAAAGATTTTATCGGTAATACTTAAATCTTTGGAAATGCCTTTATCTTTGGTGATTCTTAGTGTGTGTGTGTGTGTGTGTGTGTGTGTGTGTGTGTGTACGTGTGTACCAAGCACTCTAATTCTGCTGGTTGTTACGGTACCTGGTTACAGGAACAGTGGTAGTGACAGTAAATTGAAGCTCTCATTTGAGAGAGTGTTGTGTGCCCGGGGCCGGGCATTTGTTCATCCTTACAGTGAAACTAAGTTAATCAGCATTAAAAAAAACCACCACCAACAAAACTTGATTCTCAAAATAATGTGGAGCATCGATGGAGCATTTGCTAAGGACCACTTGACGTGGATTAGCTCCTCCCCTTGCCAGCTCCCCATGTCGTCTGCAGATGAGGTTCCCCACAGGCACACCTGTTTCATCCCTTTGTGAATTGACCCACCTCTGCTCTGGAGGTGTTTGGAGCCAAAGATTATTTGTCTCGGTGGTGGGGCAGGGGCGAGCAGCATCCTTGGTCTACACCTATTAGATGTTGGTAGCACCCTCCCCTGCCCTAGTTGTGACAGCCAAAATTGTCTGCAGACATCGCCCAGCGTGCCCTGCCTGGATGGCAAAATCACCCCTGGCTGCCTGGCGTCTGGGTGGGCTCCGTCAGTTAACCGTCTGACTCTTGATCTCAGCTCAGGTCTTGGTCTCAAGGTTGTGAGTTCAAGCCCCATGTTGGGCTTCACGCTGGCCGTGAAGCCTACCTAATTAAAAAAAAAAATCACTCCCGGCTGAGAACTGCTGGTTTAGGTGGTTGAAGCCAACGGCCTCGAGGTTAACGGGGAAATAGGAAGCGATGTTATACTAATAGCAAATAATAATACAGTGCTTCTCTGATGCCAGCCGCTGTTTTGATGATTAACGTGCTAGATCCTTACAACTTGATGAGGTGGGTGCTTTTTACCAGTCCTTTCGTATTTTATTATCAGTGTCTCTCTTTGAGGCTACCAGGAAAGGAGATTCACGGAGCTCAGGGACCGTGCCCAAGGACGCCCATCAAGTCAGCTGCCAAGGTGGACTTCACACCTGGGGTCTGGCTCTCGCTGCGTGCCTGCCTCCATCCTCCCTGTGTCTAGTCTTTCCCCCTCTATCCATTAAAGGTAGCTTTGGTAGGTCCTTGCACTAGAGCCGAGGGAGCCCTGCATACCGACTGGCTGAGTTTCACCCATTGGATCCTCACTTTGACTCTACCCCCATTTGGCGGGTGAGGAAACTGACGTGACCATCTGCCAGCGTGAGCACTGTTTGAAGTCCCCGGGACGTCCTGATTCGTAACGCCGTTGCCATCGACAACTTTCCCTTAAGGATCAGATCACGGCAGAGTCCATGTTTTCCTGTCCATCGGAGCAGGGCTGGCCATTATGTTGTCTCTAGGAGCTCTGTAACAGACAGGACAGTCCCCATAATGGCAGGCTGTGTAGGCAAAGGGGCAGGATCTCCAGGATGCACGGCACATCTGAACACTCTTGTGTTGTTATGTGGTTTGCTTTCTGTCCTGCCCACATTCAGTGGATGAGGCTTAGGGGAGCAGTATGGAGGTAGCTTTAAGGTATTTAAAATAAAAAAAAAGTTTATTTTAAAAAAATTTGTTTTAATTTTTTTTTTTTTTTTTTGAGAAGAGAGAGAGAGATCGAGAGCGAGTGGGGGAGGGGCAGAGGCAGAGGGAGAGGGAGGGGGAGACACAGACTCCAAAGCAGGCTCCAGGCTTAGAGCTGTCAGCACAGAGCCCGACGTGGGGCTCCAACCCATGATATGTGAGATCATGATCTGAGGCGAAGTCAGATGCTTAACCGACTGAGCCACCCAGGCACCCTATGGTGTTTTTAAAAGACTCGGGCTTAGGTATGATTTTCTGTCCTCCTGTAAAAGTTTGGAACATAGTAAGGAGGGAGATCATTGACCAGTGACGCCCTCGCTCCATCTGGTGCTGAGTTTGGCTTCATTCTGCATCACGGAACCTTTGAAATGGGAAGCCAGAGATCTCCCAAGGGGTCAACTTGGCCCACGGCAGGTGCATTGGCTGTGCGAGCCAGCTCCCACATCTCCTATAAACGGATGGCATGCCATTTGTAAGCCTGGCTCCGGTCTCTGCATCTGGACTGTGCTGGGGGCCGCTTTAGTCGCTATTTATTTTGAGATTTACACCCGTGAATGGGCCAAACCAATTTCAGTGGCAGCTTAGCCGATTTGTCTTAGAGCTTTGTGCTTAATAGAATGACTGGGGAGGCCTCCTTCCTTCACGGCTTAACATTGGGTTAAAGCCTGTGCTTGACATAAATGGCCGACCCTTCCTGCTGCGCCCCATCTGGGCACTTCTGGGGGCCTTGTTGAAATCAAATACAATTTCTCCCCTCTCCCCCGACAAACAAGTTTTATTTGTTTATTCATTTGTAAATCTGTCTTTTAACAATGAACATACTTTTTCAGCTTCACCAGCCTCTGCCAAGACGGGACAAGCAGGGAGTTTGTCCGGCAGCCCGAAAACCTTCTCTCCTCAAGCGTCCACGCCCATCACGACGAAAACGGACAAAACGTCTACCACTGGAAGCATCCTGAATCTTAACTTGGGTCAGTGGGGAGTTGTGGGAGCCTCTTTCTGTGGCATCTATGCATATTTTTGCAAGTTGTGATGTCCTCTTTTGGGTGTGGTTCTTGAGCTCTGAACAAAACCTCTCTCTGCGCAAAATATTAAAAAGGTATAGGGGACAAAGATGAAGGGAGAACGGTAAAAGGAGCAAGTAAGCGATTTCCTGGGGCTTGTTGATATGCAGAGTTGTTTTATCTTGACGGACCTTAGGCCAGTGTTTACAACGTTTCCTTGTTTTTACAAGAGTAACCCAGTTCTTGTGCAGGTGTGTGTGTGAGTGTATGTATATACATTTAAGGTTTTATACATGCACACACTTGATGCAAGTCGAGCTTTATGAATCAATATTTACCTTTCCTTTGTGCAATATATTCTGATATATTGTTTCCTTAATTTTCCTTTTCTAATTAAAAAAAAAATGCCCATCTTTATCCCTGACTTAGTAGGGTCCCCCCTCCCCCCATTGCAGTTCTGTCAGTTGTTTCAAGAGCACTGCCTTCGGGCAGAGTCTTTAGCAAAAATTGGCACCAGAAATGCTAAATACCCAACCACGAAGTCATTTCATTGATTCGTTCCGTCAGGATTCTTGATTTTTATTGAGCATCTATTACACGCTGCGTGCTGTTTTAGACCCAGGGCAGAGGGTGGTGAGCAAGGGCCCTGCTCTTGTACCGAGCTGGGTTCTAGAAAGTGAGAGACAATAAATGGTATGGAGAGAGATACCTAGAATGGCGGTGGTCTGGAAGAGGCAGCGTTGAGGGAAGGCCTCTTGAGAGGTGGTATGTGTTTATGTGTGTGTGCCGTTATTTATTTATTTGGAAATGTTTACTTATTTTTGAGACAGTGTGAGCAGGGGAGGGGCAGAAAGAGAGGGAGACAGAGAATCCCCTGCAGAGCTCAGGAGTCATGAGACTGTGACCTGAGCCTAAACCAAGAGTCAGACTGAGTTACCTAGGAGAGGTGGTATTTAAGCCTCGATTTGCATGACAAGAAAAACCAGCCTTGCCCATATTGGGAGGAGGAACAAAAAATTAGGGCCTTAGGGGTCAGGGATGTTGTAGGAATGGCAGGGAGGCCCAGGTGGCCTGTCCCAGTGGGTGAGGGGAAGAAGGTGAGGAGATGAGGTCCCGGAGCACTGGGACCCTGTGGACCCCGCAGACCCTGGTGTGGAGCCCTTTGAGCAGAGGAGGGATGTGAACTGAGCACTTTAGAAGGACCTCTCTGGGTGCTGTGTGGAGAATAGCCTATGTCAGGTGGTCCTCCCCAGAGATGGTTCCCTCACTCCCCTCCAGGGAACACTGGGCAATGTCTGGTTGTCACAGCTGGGGGTGGGGCTCGAGTATACAGGGTTTTAGGAAGAGGGGGACAGCCACCTGTGCAGAGCGATGCTCGCACGTGAACCCCTAGCCCCTGGTGGCCAGGACCCTCCAGGTTCGTCTTGTCCTGCAATGCCATTTCAGGCGGAGAAACTAAGGTCTGGAGAGGAGGTTCCAGGTGCCCAGGACTGCAGGGTTCCAGGTGCCAGGCAGGTGGCGGGACTGGAGCAAGCCCGTGTCTGCAGGGAGGCCAGAGCCTGGCCCGCCCTGGCTCACCTGTTAGCACGGACTGCATGTGGTACAGCGGTCAGGGCCGTGGCTGGTGGGGACTCATCACTCGAATGAAAGGGGACCCATTTGCTACTTTGGAATGTTCACAGAGCTCAGCGTTGCAGCTTGCTTTCTCACGCCCTCCTTCCTCCTCCACACTCCGAAAAGGAACACTGTGCTGGGGCGTTCTCACTGTGTCCTCTCTGCCCGTCGTGAGTGGCGAGAATAGCTCCTTCTCTGAACCAGGTGGTCTTGAGTGTCCTCATGACGCGGTGGGTCTTTCCGCTTGGCTTACCCACGGCGGCAGTGAGAGATTTCTCCCTGTCGTGCGTTCTGGTGGGTGGGCATGGTGGAGCCTGAGAGGCTGCCCTGTACAGAAGACCCCGCCCCCCCACCCCCCCACCCCCCATGCCCCCCATCTCCTTCTGTGCTG